CAGCCCTGGGCTGGTGGGCCATGGGTTCCGGCTGCCACAGACTGAAGGGAGCTCTGTCCCCAGCCCCACACTGCCCTGAGCTGTTGCAGGCTCCGACACCAGCCCTCTGCTGCCAGCCCTCCTGCCGCTAGGCTCCCCGGGCTCCCAGATCCAGGAACATACATGGTGCTACTGGATAACGGATGTTGCCAAATTAGAGAGTGCCAGTTTTGGGAAGTGCAACTTGTAGTACTTAAAATTTGTTTGGGATACGAATATAAGCACTCTTCTTAGACTTGTCTCCTGTAAACCTATAAAGCACAACACATATGGCTGGCCCATAACAAAAATAATAATTGTTAAATAACAATAGGTCAAAAGCCAAAGCTCTGTGCAAACTCTAAGTAAATAAGACTTGCTTAGTTGTTCTCAGTAGGAGAGAATGGAATCTTCGGATTTTTATTTATAAACTGAATTCTTCATGCATCTCATGTGATTTCAGCAAAGATGAATGAGTCTCCTGAATGTGAGACATCAGGAAAATATGCAAGTTCTTGCTAGAGGGTGAGGCTGAGGCAAACAATTGGCTTCTTTGCCCAGTGAGGGGCATGGGTAGAACAGTCATCTACTCTGGCAGCAGATTTAGGGTGTCTGACTTCCATGGTAGTTATGTCAGACATTAGTAATAGTATCTGGGGAAGGGCGGAGTTTCAAAAGCCCCAAGTGTTGGCTTAAGTTTGAAGTTTGACCTTTGACTTCAATGGAAGCAAGGTAGCCAGCAGGGACTGCACATGCAAATTCCACCATTCATGTAGTATTCCTCTTCTCACCGTACTCTGGCTCTCTGGTCTCAAATCTTGGGGAGAGCTGTTGTTATTTTGCTTCATTAAAGTGCTTGATTATCATTCCTACTCACAGCACTGTTTTATGATGTAGTGAGGGCCAGTGCTTTCTCTAGCGTAATTGTCATAACCCCAGGCTGTGTCTACACTGGCCACTTATTCCGGAAAATCAGCCGCTTTTCCGGAATAACTTGCCAGCTGTCTACACTGGCCCCTTGAATTTCCGGAAAAGCACTGACGATCTACTGTAAAATCATCAGTGCTTTTCCGGAAAAACTATGCTGCTCCCGTTCGGGCAAAAGTCCTTTTCCGGAAAACTGTTCTGGAAAAGGGCCAGTATAGACAGCACAGATTTCTTTTCCGCAAAAAAGCCCCAATCGCGAAAATGACAATTGGGGCTTTTTTGTGGAAAAGCACGTCTACATTGGCACGGACGCTTTTCCGGAAAAAGTGCTTTTCCGGAAAAGCATCCTGCCAATGTAGATGTGCTTTTTCCGGAAATACTTATAATGGAAAACTGTTCCGTTTTAAGTATTTCCGGAAAAGGGTGCCAGTGTAGACGTAGCCCCATTGTTTACAGCAGCTGAGAATTTGACATGCAGTGTTGTAAACACTGGTAGAACCCTTATTATATTAACGCATTCTGTGCTTTTTTTAGTTCTTTGTGCAATATGCATCTCTGAGCCAAGCCTTACTACTCCACACCTTACTCCCATGAGCCGCTCCGTTGACTTCATTGGTACTGTTTGAGTGAATAAGAACTAGAGTGGAACCTTGGATGGAAACCTTTTTTATATTTCCTTCATCTCACATCAGCACATATTGTTTGAAGCCTTTTGGCCATAATTTTAACAGACATTTATGGGAAGAGGGCATTGCGACAAGGAAGTCACTGACTGTTCACTTTTGTCTTTGATTTACATAAATACTAAAATAAGCGTCTTTGTCAAGTGAAATCTTTTCATCAATTTTCCTCTAGTTTGAAATCTTTTGTTGCATCTGCACGCTTCTCTTATTGTTACTCCTGCTATGATGTTCTGACTTTTTTTTTAAACTTTTTAACTTTTGAAAAATGTTTTCTGTACGTCTGAGCCAGGAATTTACAAGCCCTGCCCCCTCCAAACTATTGACTAAAAGGATGTGTTTTATAGACATTCACACAGTAATGAATCAGAAAACAGTTACTTACTAATCTAGAGAATTGTTACCTAACATCACAAGGCGCTTTGCTTCAGGAAATGATTAATTTATATTTGTACAACAGACTTACCCAGTGTTTCCCGGGTCCTTCAGGGCTGGGGCTGGCACTGTGAGGGGGAGGGGCGCAGGAGTCAGGGCAGGGCCTTAGAGATGTGGGGTGGCAAGAATGCAGGAGGCTAGGAGTGGGAGGGTGCGAGAGTGAGGGTTGCGGAGAGTGAGGAGTGAGCAGGGAATTCCATACAGCACAGGCCTTTCCTCTCCCCCTACCGTTCCCAGGACATCAGAGGCCCCTTTTCTCCCTCAGCACCACCCCTTGGCAGCCAGGGGCCTTTCACCAGCCTCCGGCACTGTAACCAAGGGTTGGGGGGAGGGAAGGATTTGGGGTAGGAGTGTTACTTATCGGTGTGCTGACAAGCCAGAGGGCAAAGGCCCATCCCTGCTGGCCACTGGCTTGGTGATGCGGCTGGACACTCTGCAGGTTAGTTCTCCCCTGGGATCTCACTGCCCCTAGTGGCCATTCTCATATCACATTCCTCTTTTCTGTGCCCCCCATTTGCATGTTATGGAAAACTATCCTTTTCCTGGGGCTTCCGGTCGCCTTGGCAGAACCAAGCCCTGCCCTTGCATTAAGTTCTAAGAGGAAGTTGCCTACCAAAGTTGATGGTCCTAGCTTTTACTGTTTAGGAGGAGTTCTAGGACAAACGGATTCACAGACAGACACGAAGACAGATAGACAGACAGACATGCTCTGATAGATAGATAGATAGATAGATAGATAGATAGATAGATAGATAGATAGATTTTCAGACGTAAAATACATAAACATCCATTTCTCACAAGGCTGAGAACTTTTAGATTTTTATAACACAACAGGCTATATAATATATGCTCTCTTTTATCCTCTGATTATCTCACTTTGGTATCTATAGGCAATCTGCCAGAGAATGAGAAGCAGTATTATATATACAATATATATTTTAATATCCACACTAGCAAATGTACCTGCTAGAACCCTCTCCTGACATCCTTATGAGTCCTAGGAACACCAGACCAAAGATCAGATCTAGAACAGCAGTCCACCAAGTCCAAAATCTTTCCTCTGACAGTGGCCAATACTTGAAGCTTTAGAGAAAGTTGCAAGCCACATAATGAACAATTATTATGGAATAACTAGCCCAAAGAGAAGATTTATTTTTTAGTTAGTGGATGAAGATTTTGAACCTTTTTACTATATTTTTAATCAGCCTAATGTAACCGTGGACAGTCACATTATTTATATATATATATATATATCACATAGTCACATTATTTATATATATATATCACATTGTCTTTTTAAACTTACTGAGCCTTAGAACACACAGTTCTGTGTTGTAGGGATGAAAATTGATCTTTCATTTCTTTGTAGAATCATGGTCCGACCCTTTATACCAATGACAACAGTTTTGTAGAGAGTATAAGTGGCATAAAGAAGTATGGCTAAATGGAAGGCTTATATTTCAAGCCACTGGAGATTTAAAAGTAATGGTCATTCAAATTAGTAATGGGTCTGAAAGTAGGGTCCTAAGTGCACTTCATACTTTTTTCCATAAAGAATGCTTATGTCTATATTGTGCCTTTATTCTGTGGGTGGAACTTCCATAGGACAGCAATAGCAGTTACAAATCTGACTTCAGAACATGACAAGACCCTTACAACTGAGGCTATGTCTAGCCTGAAGGCTTCTTTAGGAAGAAGCTTTTCCGGAAGAGATCTTCTGATAAAACTTCTTCCAAAAGAGAGCGTCCACACAGCAAAAGCGCATCAAAGAAGCATTCTGGATGCTATCTCTTAAATGGACTCTATCTTGCATTTAAGTTGTGATTACTATGGACAGAGTGGCCACCAGGGCACCAGTGCTTTTTCCTCTTTCCTCTTCTTTTGAAAGAACTCCCTTTTCCTCATCCACACACACCTTTTTCTGGAAGAGCTCTTTCAGAAAAAGGCTTCTTCCTCATGGAAAGAAGTTTACCAGTGTCAGAAAAACCCCTCTGTTATTTCAATTTTTTTTAAAAGAACATGATTTCAGTGTGGACATAAGTGAAGTTTTTTGGGAAAATGGCCATTTTTCCAAAAAAACCTCTGCAATGTAGACAGACCCTGAAAGTTAAAATAAGGACAGAGATTAATTAGTGGCAGCCAATAATAATGCAAGGATTTTCCCCATCTGAGATTCACTGTTTTAGTAATAATGGAAAAGACTCAAAGTAAAGAGATTTGTATTGTTTTACTCTATTCATTGAAAAGGAAAGAAAACCCAATACCCTGAATTTGAGATGCCAATGAAAAATGTGTGTCAATGAAGGGATTGTATTAAATTAAACTCTTTGGAGTAAGGATTTTGTCTTCCAATATGGAATAGCTAAATAATAATAATCATATTACTCTGCACATTTCAGTGCAGATTAGTAGCTACTGCACGTAACTGGATTCTCCTTGCTTCTGAATTCCAGGGATGAAATCCTGGGCCCGTTGAAGCTAATGGAAGTTATGCCATTGACTTTGCAGCTCTTTGAAAATGGGATGTTCTTAACTGTAGTTAGCTAACTTGAGTTAAAATAACAGTGAATATATACTACCTTGGCTTTTAACTTAGGTTAGTTGCTTGAGCTTAACCCCCAGGCTCCCCAAGCTGTTATCCTGAGTTAAAAAATGAAATTGTAGTGTCTTCAGTGCTAATTTAACCCCTGTTAATTAACCCAAGCTAAGAACACACCTTTGTTGCAATGAAAACATATCCTTGGGCAAGATTCTCACCCTAACCATGCATTAGTTTACTTAAATGTAAAAATAGGGGAGATAATCGATACTGCTTTAGTAGAGTGTTATGAGCCTTAATTAATGTTTGTTGAAGGTTGTACATAAGTGAAAAGTACTATTACTAGTATTGTACACTACAAGTTGTTTTTTTAATTTTTTATGCTCTCTTTCTTCGTCCAGGTTGGCTGCTACTTGAAGACCCCAAGGTACCCAATTTGGGTTGTGTGTAGTGAAAGCCATTTCAGTGTGCTTTTTTGTTTGCGAAAGGACTTACTAGGTGACTGGAAAACAGAACGGAGATTTGATCTCTATTACTATGATGGCCTGGCCAACCAGGAAGAGGAAATACGGTTAACAGTTGGTATGTACAGGAGAGCCTTTACATTTCCTTCCCAGTGATAGTAACAAAACCCCAACCCAAAGAAAAATTCTGATCATATAAACCCAATCAAATCAGCTGCTGATGATATTGGCCTACTAAAGTTTGGTTTGGTGCCCATTTCCTACGTTTCCATAATTAGTTACAATAAATAGTGGATTGTTTGTGAAAATGTTGAGGTTAAGTTAAAGGTCCTTAAATGTTTAAAAGTGAGCATGCACTATTTTCCAAGACCTGTTACATACTTACACAAAGCTGATTTCCAAGGTCTAGATTGTGATCCGGTCTATCCAGAGTAACATGGCCATAAACCAGATATGAATTTGTATAGGCCCCACATTTTTGCAGGTGCAGGGGACAAAGTAGATGCTACAGACTCATATTTCCCCTTCCCCATGTAGGATCAGCAGGGAAAGGGCAGAGATGGTGGGAAATGGTTATAGCCTTCGCTCCAAGCTTAATGCTTCTTTGGGGAGCACTGGGTTGGTTCAGGAAATATAATAATATGCTGCTAATCAAGTCCAATTCTTTCCTTGGGCTACTTGTGAGACAGCACACTTTTACACAGCCTTTAGTCATGGCTAGTTATAAATGGACAATCTGGCCACTCATTAAACAAAGCTAGGCTATGTCTAAACTACATCCCTCTTTCAAAAGAAGGATGTAGTTTAGTCATGCCCCTAATGTGCGCAACACTTGAGAGTTGCAGTGGGGAGCTAAGGGTGCTGAGGAGTACCTTTCAAGATTTGGTCTTTGGTATGTGAAATTGTAGCAGCACCATTGTTTGTTTCTTCTTACTCAATTTCATGGAGAGCCCATTGTATTGGGATGATTATAATAATTGCTCATTATCTCCATAAATAACCTCCAGGGATGCAGAACTGCAAATGATTTATTATGTGGTCCAATCTAGAAGTGAGAAAACTTACTAACATATTTCATACCAAGAATGACTAGGAGGGAGCATTTATTGTGATTAGCCCCTGCTGACCTTAAAATAGCTACTGCAATTACTTATTAAGCTCTTGACCTTTTCCATGATTTTTCCAGTGTTTTTCTAAGTTTGAAAAACAATGTTTGAATTGGTTTTGTGTTGTTGAAGAGCAACAACTTACCTTTTTAGTTCAATCCAATCTTATTAGTTGTCTGTGGTCAAGGAAAACGCCTACTTATTATTTGTGGCCCGAAGGCCCTTTGTCTGCATAGTAGCAGAGCATAGCAAATCTAGGTTCTACCAGGGGTGGGGAACCTTTTCTGGGCCAGGAGCTGCTGTCCCACAGAACAATCAATCGGGGATTGCACACAAGTGACAAGCAAAAACCCTCCAAAACAACAACAAAACCCTCAGTGATGTGGCCCCCAACTGAGAAGGAGAAAGACACTCCCCACATACCCCTTATCCACCAGGGCCTAGGCGGTAGGAGGCAGGCTAGTATTTTGTGTGTTTCAGCCCCACAATGGGGCAGTGAGGGGCGGAGCGCAAACATGGGCTCCCCTACACTGTGGGGGAGCCCTTGAGCCTCTGGGGCCAGACCTAGGCATGCCAGGGGCCACAACTTGTCCCCCAGGCCTTAGATTCCCCACTTCTGATTTACACCAATGCCACTCACATTTGTATCAACTTGAGTAAATCTCTTCACCTAAGTTGTCCTTAGTTTCTGTATCAGTCGAAAAGGAATAATAATACTTGCTCACATTTATAAAGGACTTTGAGAGGACTTTCTGTGTATGAGAAAGTACTAATTATTATTTGTCATTGATTCCCTTTACCATTCACCCAAGTCTTATCACTTCAGTTTATTTCTCTTTCGGAATTAGGCTTGGATTCAGAAATATGTTTTAAATTTAAGGCATCACAACCCCAAATGGTTTGCAGTACTAAATCTTTTCTTATCTTTGGAATTTTGCAGTACAGCATTAGCTCCAAATCGTTTCACCATTCCGACTAGAAAAATCTCTCCAACAGCCCTTTGAGTCTGCTGTCTATGAATGGAGATAAGCATCCTGCCAAACTTTGTTCAGTCTAAAGAAACACTGGATTTCTCTAACAGCTCCTAAAAATTAGAACTGAGTTTTCTGCACCCTCATGTGCTGTGCTTTCTTTGACCAGATGCACAAAAGTTATGTTCCTTGAACCCTTTACCAGGGCTGTAGTTTGTAACTAAAGACTGATAAAGGTTTTTGAAAAAACAGATAATTAAGAAGCAAGAGCAAAATTTTCTTCATTCAGAGTGAAATTTGTTCCTGCGGAAGGGACTAGATCACACAGAATTTGTGGAGGACTCAATTTATGAATAGTCTCATGCTAGTCCTTTGCATAGGAGCAGATTTTATCTACGGTGCTCACTCATAAAGACCCATGTGGCACAAGATAGAGAGGTATCCCAGTAGCGCTTTCCAAAAAATAGAGCAGATCTATGGTGGCAGAACTTGACTCTGCTTTCACAGGGCAAAAAGGGCCTTTTTCCATTTTACCACTTCCACAGAAAGTCCTAGTAAAACATGGGAGGCAAATGGATAAATTTGTTTGGAGGAAATGATTTCTTTGACTCCTGGAGAAATGTTGCTGATTTTTGTAATGGTTACAACTGATGAACATCTGTGTATCTTTCCCCCATTTGAATATCCTTTAAACTCAGTACTCTTTAAAATGGGATCTCAGAATCCTACGCTCATTTGCTAATTGCTGGGGAAACATAACTGTAGCCAGAATTATTTGAAGGTGGCAATTTCTCCAAAAGTACATTCACTACCCACAACGCCAGTGCAGCCACCACAGGTTAAAATAGATAGTTTGATTGACTAACCTGTAAAAGGTGCTGGTTGAGGCTATTAGGTGTTGAATTTATATTGATTGCTGTAATTCCTAAAAGGTTTTGTCCCATATTTAAGAACAGAGGTTTTGTGTGTGCCATTTCAGGCTTTGTGGGATAATGACTGGTAAAACACAAGTGGTTCTTGGAATGGCAGCATAACATTTTGAAATAATATAATAAAAACCACTTAGGAGGTTTTCAGGCTATCACACTTCTTTTTAAACTATACCTTTGCTCATATTACAATGTCAAACTCTTCCTGAATGAAATCTGCTCTTTGTGATATTTGATCTGCCATTCCATGCTAATATTTGGTGTTTGCAGGATTTGGGAAGAGGATTTATCACTTAGGGTACATCTACACTATGCAACTTTTAGCAAAAAGCATTGACAGAACCTGGTTGCTTAATGTCATCTTGTGTGTGCTCTGTTTGTCAGCACTTTTGCCAACAAAGTACTTCCAGCCCCTACAAGGAGGTTTCACTTTATAGGCAGGAGAGTGCTTTCACTTGCTGCAACAAAACTTTGTCCTTCATGGATTGTTGTGTTTTAAGCACCTGTGAATGACAAAAGTCTTGTAGATCAAGTGCAAGTGTAGAAACACCCTTAAATTGTAAAGTCTTTGGGGCAGGGACTATCTTCTTGTTCTGTGCTTGCACAGTGCCTAGCACAACGAGGCTCTGATCCATAAAATTAACTCCCGGGCATGATGATGGTGATGATAAATATCTATAATGTCTCCACAGATACAGTTCAGCCTTACATTGAAGATAAAGAAAATGACCTTATTCCACCACTTGAGCACTGTATTAGGACAAAGTAAGTAGACCTCATCTAAAATTTCACATTGCAGATAGTTTCAGTTCTCTAATTTTTTTTCTCAGAAGGAGGTTTCAGCTTGTCATGAAATTAAATATGTTCTGCTGAGTCATACGGGGTATGTCTACACTACCCCGCTAGTTCGAACTAGCGGGGGGCAATGTAATCATCCGCAGTTGCAAATGAAGCCGGGGATTTGAATTTCCCGGGCTTCATTTGCATAAAGCCGGCCGGCGCTATTTTTAAATGCCGGCTAGGTCGAACCCCGTGCCGCGGCCCACAAGGCACGGAGTAGCTAGTTCGGATTAGGCTTCCTAATCCGAACTAGCTACTCCGTGCCTTGTGGGCCGCGGCACGGGGTTCGACCTAGCCGGCATTTAAAAATAGCGCCGGCCGGCTTCATGCAAATGAAGCCCGGGATTTGAATTTCCCGGGCTTCATTTGCAACTGCGGATGACTACATTACCCCCGCTAGTTCGGACTAGTGGAGTAGTGTAGACATACCCACAGAGTTGTTGGTTAACAAACAAAAAGGACTACAATGGGCCAGGGCTGGAAATATAAAATAAGAGTCTGTTCTTATATGTTATTATCATGACCACATTAATGGAGTGGGATGTTCAATTTAGTGCTTAAAGCAACCATCAGTAAATCACTAAGAACTGACCATATTACAGTAATTCCCCTTGACTTCCATAGGAAGAGAATTTGGCCCCTACAAGGAACTTATTAAAAGAGCACAAAATGTGTGAACATAAGAATGGCCATATTGGGTCAGACCAAAAGACAATCTAGTGCCATATCCTGTCTTCTGGGAGGGGCCAGTACCAGAGACTGGAAAAGGAACGTTTAATCATCCAGTGATCCATCCCCTGTCGCCCATTCCCAACTTCTTGTGAACAAAGTAAAAAGGATAAGAAAAGCTCTTTCAAACATCCAAATTCAAATCACAGAGAAGCACGAGCAACTGTAGTATGAATTGGATTTAAACATGAATGAGGGAAAAACAACCAGTAACAAAACAGATAATGCTGCGATCTTAACAGAGCAATCATTACAGGTTGAAACTCTCAAGTCCGGCACTCTTTGTTCTGGCAACATCCATGGTCCAGTATGATTTATTTAGCTGGATGTCCGTTTATCATGGGTATGACCAAATTTTCTGCGGTCCCCTAAAATTTGTTTACAGCCACCAGTCCTGGCGCTCAGTGCTATGCTATGCTGTTATTTAGCTCTAAATTACCCTTAAATGTCTTCTCAGAGCCCAGCAATCAAGTGTGGGTAATGCTGCTAGACAATACTGACCTCCCATCTTTTGGCAAATTCTCTGGTTCTGTACTGGTCAGTTGTAATTATAACAACAAATTTAACTTTGCCTGTATTGCCCAACCTGTGTATCCTTTGGGTACAGGTTTCACATTCTAACCTCACTTGTTAGGCTGCATGTTTAGCCAGGACAGGAGAATAGAAGCACCTCATGCAATGTAGCTCTGCTAACGCATCCGTGGTAGTGTTATGTTGTGCCTTTTCCAAGTTTTTGTGATGTTAACAGTGTAATATCGACATCGCATTGCAATGATGTGTGACAGATAATGTCCCAGTTTGCTTTTCAAAAGAAAACCGGGCAGAAGAAGATAACAATAGGAAATGGTCATCATCTTCCTCCCCCAGCTGTTCATTTGCAGATTTAACAAATTCTACAGGCTTCACCAATGGGCTGTGTGTGCATCTTGCTTCAGAGTTAATGGACTTTCCAAATTCTGCTAGTGGAGATGAAACATTTCTTTGTGTAGCTAGTTGCACACATAAGCCCCAACCCACTCCGTTGACATAATTGGGAATCTTCCCATCCACTTCAATGTGTGAATTGGATTAAGTTGTTAAGTTGCACAACCAATGCCACCACATTTATATTTACATATCAATATCTGGCCTCTAAATTTCAATTGCAGTGGGAGTTGGGTGCATATTTGAGGGCAGAATTTGGCTTACCTAACAAAAAAAAACCAAACAATTTCTGCTGTGCAAGTTCAGTCTCATTTTTTTTCAATCAGAACATTGTGTAGAAACTTGCTCTTTTGCAATCTTAGAAAATCACATACTCCTCACAGACATCTCATTGAAAAGCCAGGACTGAAGTTTCAAATAGCAGTGGATTTTTATAGTTATCACCATCAAAGAAAGAGTGATCACAATTTATTTACTATGGAAATATTTGAGGGGTTTTTTCACCATCACCAAAGATAAAAAAGATTTTACTCAAACTGCAATAAAAACAATAAATCAATAAACAAAAGCATAATCAGGTGGACACTAAGCGTGGAACATTTTGGATTTAAAGACTGAATATTTTAGAAAGATATGAACACTACATTTATGAATAACTATTTAAATATCCTATTCTGCCCCCATGCTCATGTTTTATTTAAAGCATTGCACGTTTATATTACAGTACATGTTGAACCTCTCTAATCCGGCACTCATGGGACCTGACTGGTGCAAAACCAGAGAATTTGCCAGAGCATGGGAGGTCAACATTGTCTAGCAGCATTACCAGCCCTTCCACTGTTTACTCGACTCTTAGAGAATATTTAGGGGTAAATTAGAACTAAATAACAGCACAGAACTCTGAAAGCCAGCACTAATGCCTGTAAGCAAATTTTATGGAACCACAGGAAACTTGACCACACTCATGATAAATGGACATCCATCTAACTAAAATCATGCTGAACCATGGATGTTACTGGAACCGAGAGTGATGGACAAGAGAGGTTCAACCTGCAGTATGTGTTCATATGTGTAACAGAAAATCTATATGCCAATTATGTTCAGGAAACAAAGGTAATTATAAAGCAGACTCTGAGCTATATCTACACTACTGGCTTCTTGCACAAGAAGCTTTTTGTGGAAGAGATCTTCCGCAAAAACTTCTTGTGCAAGAGAGCATCCACACTGCAAAAATGCATCGAAAAAGCGATGTGCTTTTGCACAAGAAAGTGTCCAGACTGCATGGATGCTCTCTCGAAAGAAAGTGCTGATAGCTATTCACAGAATGGCCACCAGGGCACCTGTGTTTTTTTCAATAGGGGTTTTTTGTGCAAAAAGAGGCAGTTCCCTGTCCACACAAGCCTTTTTGCTCAAGAGCTTTTGCACAAAAAGGAGTTATTCCTTGTAGAAAGAGGAATAACTCTTCCACAACCCGCCCACCCCCATTCTGTTGATTTACTTGTGAAAAAACGTGCCTGAGGTGTGGATGCTTTGCGAGTTTTTGCGCAAAAATGGCCGTTTTGGTGCCAAAACTCTGCAGACTAGATGTAGCCTGAAGTGTACATGCAAAGTGAGAGAGAGAGAGAAAGAGAAGAAAAATACTTTAGAGGTACAAGCAGAGGAAATTTGCCAAAAAGAAAAACTAGTATGTATTAAAGAAAAACAATTCCTAGTCCCTACTTGATCCCTGTTGCCATAAGATTACTTATCAGCAGCCTCTCTCTGTGAGAGCAAGAATCACTGCAAGATTTTGGGAAGTCTTTTTGTTTGCCCCTCTTGATTCTCAAAACCAAGTACGTTTGCTGAGGGCTCCATTTCTATATTTCAGTGTTTCTCAAAGTGGTCCACATGGCCACTCCGAGAAAGCTGCTACCGGGCCACTCCAGTTTGTTTACTTACCGGCTCCTTAGCCACGGAGCCTCGTGGCTCCCATTGGCTGTGGTTCACCATTTGCAAAACACTGCTATATTGGGATTTTCAAGTGAACTCGGGTTTTTTCCCTTTCTTCCCCACTGTTCAATTCTGTTCTATTCAAAGTTCTTAAATCAAGACCGGCATCATAGCAACTGAGCTCCTTCCAGAACAATTTCGACTAACATCTGTCACATGTGCTTCGTTCTTTCCTCCTCTCCTTAGGGGGATATATGTGTGTGCAGTGTAGGGTTTTTATGTTTTAGGTTTTTTTTCAGGGGCATTTTGAGCGGGATGATTTTTAAAAACGTATTTTAATGTCCCTGTTCCTCTGAGAAGACAAGGTCGGAGAAGTGCACGTTTGCATTTAGAGCAAAAGGCAACATGGTCTCAACAATGCCTCCTGCTTCACTTCTAAGTGCAGACTCTCCACCAATGAGTGAGAGTCACCCCATGTCCTTCCGTTGCGCCTCCCAGCTCCAGACATCTGGGGAAGCTGTTAAATTCTGACCAGAAAACGCCTGGAATGCGCATCCTTGGGTTGTTTTGGCCATGCCGTGCAGACTTCAGTAGAACATGCTTATATCATAGCCCCCATCCTCAGTTGTTTGCTGTCTGCAGCAGTGAAAATAACATCTGTCGGCTCTGCCTGAGGGGAGAAAACTTTGATCTTACTTTATCATCTAAATTCAGCAATATATTTTATAAGCCCTTAGCGTCTACCTTAGTCTGCAGTTTCCGGGCTCAGCAGAGCACAGCTGTTGTCCTTTGAAATGACACACACCATTGGGACAAAAAGGCTGTACTTAGAACCTTATTCAGGACACACTGCAGATACATTTTCGCCCCATGTTACTCACACATTATGAAACAGCCAAATAATTACTACAGCAGCAGCTTTATGAACTTTATTCTATCAAGACAGACACTCCACAAGGGGTTAAATCGCTCCCATTGGAGAAAATGGAAATCCTCCTATTAACTTCAATGGGCTTTGGAGGAGGCCTCATGTGAATAGCAGGAGTTAGATTTTCTATTCATTGTTTGTTATAATTGAATCAGAAGCAAAAATGCTTGGGTAGAGTTGAGGTATATTGCAGCAGGGTAGTGGGGGAGGGGACTTTGAACTGCTATCTCTATGTTGGAGGTGGGCAAAATCCATCCCAAGGGCCAGATTTGGCCAGCCAACCATTTCTCTCTGGCCTGCCAGCTGATTAGCAGAGCATGTTCCGCTGCCCCTTCCCCCACTTTGCTCCCTCCTGCAGCCACGCTGCTCCCAGGAATTCTCTTGCTAGCTGTGCAGAGAGGAGGGAGGAGGGGAG